TAAACAATTTTACAATCCTGTTCAATTTACTGAGCCTCAATTTCCCCATCTATAAAGTGGGGATAATAATAGTGCCTACCTCCCAGGGTTTTTGTGAGAATTAAATGAGCAGATTCATAAAAGCACTTATTGTTATAAATAATATAGTAAGTGTTCAGTCAATGATAGCAAACGGTAAATTTGGGTGGTGGATAATAATACTAATAAATGTTATTGGAATTCATTTTTCAATCTTATTTCTGATATTTTTATTTATTCGACGAATCAAAATATTTGTTGCTAATAATTCATGCTTGCATTAGTAGGAGTCAGATATGTCCTTGGAAGGAATAGGAAAAGGCACAGTTCCCTGCTGGCTTAGTTTTCTCTGTCAGAAGAATGCATCTGAATGGATGTTCTTTTTCTTTTTTTTGGAGTTTAGCATACTTATACAGTCTTGCTCTTGTTACACCACCCTTCAGAATTCTTCCTTCTCTCATTCAGAGGCGAGAACACAGTCCTCCCAGTGCCTTTCCACCACCCACCATCAGTTCTCATCTATAGAAGTCCTTGTGCCAGTGAAATTGATTAAGAAATGGGAATACTGTCTTTTAAAAGGAAGGTAAAGTTTATACCGCAGGATCTTGGTCAAGGAGAAGGATAGCAAGGGCTCTGTGGAGGATTGACTTTGGAAAGGTAGTTTATTGAAGTGAGTTAAAATTGGAGATGGGGAGAAGGAAGCCACCTTTGTATGTTTAAGATTGTGAAAGAATAATATTGAGCGCTTACCAGGAGCCAAGCACTGTTTTAAGCATTTACACATATTAATTCATGCTTACAACAACCCCCTGAGGGATGCAAGTAGTAGTATTCCCATTTTACACATAAGGAACTGAGGCACAGAGGGGCTTAAGAGGTTAAACATTTTGTAGAACTCAGTTTAGGTGAGTTCCCCATTATCTCCAGAACTTGACCCACATCTAGAGACTTTAGCCCTGGGATGGGATGGAGCGGTGGTTGTGCTGGGGTGGAGAATAGAAATTATAAAATGCTTTAAATTATACACATGAATCTAGCAAACCAAATCCCTGCACACATTTTAACTCCTCATTCTCCCCAAGCTGGAATTCATTCACTCAGTTGGCACGTATGCATTGGGAGCCTTCTGTTGTCACATACTCGATACTTCTCTTCCCCCACAGTTTAGCTATGGCGTGACCTTGGCCACAATGGTATTTATTATTTAGACAAAATTATCTCTAAATCCCACCCACTAATATCATTTATTTATGTTAGTGGACATTCATTTTTATGGTTTTCAATGAGCCTGTAACATTCTGAGCTGTTAGACTTTGAAACCTTTTTAAACAAGTACCTAAGGGTCACTTTATTTGGGCCTCCTAGGATATATCCAGATATATGAGGTCGATGTAGATAGCTTATGCTTTTAGAAAGTGTAATATTCTGCATCCAAGGCTGTTTTAGGTTATTTGGAATGCTTGTGAACGTAAGAGTGCAATTAAGCAAAGCTCAAAGAGTTCTCATCTTTGGCTAAAAATAAGATTGTGAATCCATTTCCCAGTCTTTAGAGAAGCCCCTGTGATGATTTACCAAAGATACAAACCACTTCCCTTGTCAGAACATCACGCATTGAAGACAGAGCTGCCTGTAAATAAGCAGAAGAGGGCGTATATTGAGGACAGAGGTGCAGTCAGTCACTGCATATGTGGAGTAGCATTCGATGGCTGGATAAATACTGGTGAGAAAGGACAGAGAATCAGCTTATACCAGGTGTAGGCGTAGCCTAATAGTGAGCGTGAAGAGTTTTGACATGTATGAAGAAAAGCACTGCGTAGATTCTAGGTTTATTGACACAATTGGGGGGAAAAAGTGTTTTTTTTCCTAAACTGCATATTTTAAATCGCTACATGATCTCGATAAGTCATCTCATATTCCATATGTATATAACTCTTAGTTAAAAAGTAAAATAAAAATGATTCTGTACTATTTAGTGTACTTCTATTTTACGTTTTTGTCTAGTAGTAGGCAAAATCTACTTTCCAGCTCTATCAAAGCATTTTTATGTAGTGAAATTAAAGTATATTATATTTATCAAAATAAGGTGGTTACCACCTTATATTTACCAGCTATTATTCTTCAAATGGCATTTTAGGAAATAACTATTATGACATGTTCCTATTTAGAACTGTGAAAAGTATTCTGACAAGTTCTCAGAGCTCAGCGTTCCACTCTTTGATAAAAACTAGAACTAATATAAAACTTAAGACAAAATAAATAGTGTGACATTTATATAGTACCCCTACATATGTGGCATATCATCATAGTATTTCTTTCTTAAAACAATAATAAACTCCTGTAATATGCTCAACCAGCAGGACATGTGAAATATTTACCAAATATTTGGTATATATTTATTCACTCAGCAAATATTTATTGACTACTTACCATGGCAAGCCGCTGTACTGGGCCCAAGGGACACAGTAGGGAATAAATGTTCTCTGTTAACTGTTCTTAGAGTTCAGCAGGGAGGATAGACAGAAACAAATTAACAAAAACTAAAAGGAAAAATTACAAATTGTAGCATATGTTATTAAGGATCAAATAGACCATTATTAATATAGACTGTCCAAATTATAAAATCTATTTCATTTTATTGCCTTGGTATTTCATAGTGATATCTTATTCCATAATAACTTTAAAAAGAGTTGATAGATTCAAACAAATTGTGCGCATACATTTATTTATGCAACTAAAAAAATTTGCTGAATGCTTGCGTGCCAGGCACTGTTCTAGGCCCAAGAAAAAGAGCCGTGGACAAAACAAAGCCATTGTGTTCATGGTGATTTCACCCCAATGGGAAGTCAGTAAAGAAATACGTGATAAATGTCAGGAAGTGATAAATGATGTGAAGAAAAATAAAGCAAAGAGAATGGAGAGTGACCAGAATACTGTTTTATTTGGGTGGATTGAGAAGGAGTCTCTGAGGAGATAAATGGTTTCTCACAATTTTCCTTCTTTTGTGTCTTGGGTCAATTCAGTTAATGAATTCAAGATGCAAGATAATTTTTGTATCTGCTGGTATCATTTCACATATTCATTAAGAGAGCCATGGTGAGGTCCTACTTCCTTCAATTCTTTACCACTAAAAGAGATTAATACCTGAATTCTTTCTTCCTTCCTTTATCATTCTTCCATATACTCAAATGCCTAAGCACCTTTATCCATCCATCCATCTCTGTACCTTTTATCTGAACAACATGCTTTGGCGTCTGTTCCAGTTGTCCAGAATCTTGGTATACGATTAGTTTGATTAAAAATTATATAATTAAGTGTCTTCCAGATTTTTGATGATAATGTGGAATTGCTTCTGGAGAGAGCTCTTTTATCCAAGTCTTTCTCCTAGTAAACTCTCAGCCATTGAAATTGGATGTCTTGGGTGATCTTACAGTGATCCCAACCTTAACACCCAAAGCCCTAAATAAAATTGTACACCGCTCAAGTGTTCTATAGCATTGCACAAGTCTAAAATAGGTAGCTGGCACCCACCCCACGCTTCATTGTTGGCTAACTGACTTGTCCCATAAATAGCTCAGTGTTACACGATCAGACAACTACAACCAACAGAGAAGGGATTTTTGTTTCCTAACACACATGTGTAGTCTCTGGTATTCAACAAAATCAAGGTCTAATTCACTGGCCTCTAGCTGTAACATAGTTCTTAGGAGAACTGTGCAAATCAGTAGCCACATCGTTTTGGATAGGATTCAAGATAGCCCTGCCTTTTACCAAATTCTACATTATGGGTCATAGTGTTAGAGCAAGATTCAGTTTTAGTCCCCTCTGGGTACATGAAATAATGTTGCTGCTGCAATCTGGTTAATCCTAGAGAGTTTCTACCAAACGAATTAAAAATTCTCTGGTGAGTCTGAGAAGGCATCACGGTGGTTTTATAAAACCATTTTTCTGAAATCAAGAGCCTGTTTTAAAAATCTACCCACTATAGGAATATAATGGTTTTTGTTTCTAACTCTTAGCTGAAATGTATTGTTTTTATGTCTGAAAGATTTTTTAATGCTGTAATTTAACAGAACATTGCTTCATAAATTTCTTAGCAGTAACTCAGAAGGTGAACCTTGGGGTGCTTTTCCAGATAAATCTGTGCCCTCTATGTGCAAAGCATTGCTGCTTAGGAAACTAGTAATAACACATAGGGTTCAATCCATGCATAGATATTTTCACTTTCCTGTTACTGGGTCTTTTTCAAAATGGCAGTATGTTTATTGCATTTCTTTTTTTGTTGTTTTTGTTTGTTTGTTTGTTTGTGAGAAGATTAGCCCTGAGCTAACATCCAATGCCAATCTTCCTCTTTTTGCTGAGGAAGATTGGCCCTGGGCTAATATCTGTGCCCATCTTTCTCTACTTTATATGGGACACCACCACAGCATGGCTTGACAGGCCGTGAGTCGGTGCGCGCCCGGGATCCAAACCTGTGAAGCCCGGGCCGCCGGAGTGGAGCGTGCGCACTTAACCACTACGCCACCAGGCCGGCCCGTTTATTGCATTTCTTAAAAGTCAAAATGCCAAATCTAAAACAAGTGATTTTTTTTAAATCCCTTTGCTAATTTTCATTACTGTCAAAATGCTGCTTACTGTTGCTTCAAGTTTGGAACAAGAGTAAAGAATATGTCCATGATGTCAAAGCTATAGGCGCCTCTTTCCCTAATGCTGGTTTTGCACTTTTGCTTATGGGACTTCGGTACATATTATAGTCAGACCTTCATAGACCCAGTTATATACCTTTCCGTGGCCACACTGAGTGTCTACATTTTGAAAACATTTTAAAGCTAAAATTCAGTTCAAGAATACTGATCTTTAGTTTACCAAAAGAGCTTAAAAGCATTTATCTCTAGCTTTTATATCTTTGTGAATATTTACTCTAGTGGATTTGAAAGGGAAAGGAAAAAAAATCCACCCAAAGCCACTGATGGTTTGTTTAACAGATTGTAAACATGGCTGTGTGGATACAAGCCCAGCAGCTCCAAGGCGAAGCTCTCCATCAGATGCAAGCATTATATGGTCAGCATTTCCCCATTGAGGTGCGGCATTATTTATCCCAGTGGATCGAAAGCCAAGCTTGGTAAGTGAACAAAGCGTTTTCTATCATATTTTGTGAAGCACAAGCATATTAAAGTTTGATTAGAAAGATAATATGATGGAGACTTTAAAAGTTGTACATTTAAAAAATATATGTGACCCATGTAAAGATATTTAACCCTGTCTTAGATTTTAGGGAGATGGAATAATTCTTGGGATTTTTAAAATGGGATTTGTTGCCTTTAATAGTAAATTCTGGCTGAAAGCTTTGGAGTAATGCTGCTAATAAAAAGCAATTAACAAATATGTTTTGAGTGCCTGTAGGGTACCTAGCAGTGTTATAGGTAGTAAAGTTCATATGAAAAAATTAAAGCCCTTGTCTACAAAGGCTCCTGCTTTTGTGGGGCAGGATAAGGTATGCATATGCATATAATTTAATAAAGTGTATTGTTAACATTTAACACTGGAGACATTGGTGTTTTTTAATTTACATGTAATTTCTATATACACATAAAGACTAAAAGACAATATGCCAAAATATTAACAATAATTACATCTTGGTGGCAGATATAACAAGCATGTTTATTTTTCTTATTTTCCAAATTACTGTTTATATACGTGGGGGAAAATTGTTTTTAAATTCTTTTAGAATTAGTACAATGCAGTAGACTGACAACAAAGCTTTTTAATAGACAACATTATTGCACACAGGCAGCAGGCTGTCCACTGCTTTGCTCAGGGCCGGGGAGCGTGTTGGTTGGTTACATATGTTACATATGGTTACAGTCTGATCTGACCTATTCACCAGATACTTCAGGCCTCCACCATCATGGCCAGGGGGCTCCTTTTTGACAGCGCCAGGGAGAAGCTAGACTTTATGCTCCTGTTTGAGGAGGGCTGTGTACCTGTCAGTAATGTTGCCTTGAAATAATTACAGTCTTGTGTTTGTAGCAGGTTTCTGTTCAGAAACTAGAGAGCACCAAAGGAAGGCAATTTTCTAGGCAATTAAAAAAATCTCAGCCTCATGTAATTAAGTGAGGAAAAAAGGAGCTAAATATGAGCATGTCAACTGCACATTGCTTAGTTCTTTTCCATTTCTTTTTCATTTTCTTTTCTGTTTTAATGATTCAGAGAGTTCAGAAAAACATTAGTAGGATATTTCTGTTGATTAAAATTTCATTTAGTAGATTTCCCATATAGTCTTCTTACTGAATGAATGTGAAAAGACTTGGGTTGATATTAAGGAAAACCTGAATTTTACTTAGTTTTGGTTTTCTTAAGAATATAAAGATTTTAATTTAAAAAATCTTCAGTTCTTTATGTTTGAGCCTAGAAAGTCTTGTTTTGTTTTGTTTTTTAGCAGAAAATTAAGTTTTTGAGTGCAAGAACCAGTACTTGATTTCCATGAGTTTTGCTCAGAGACTGGATCTTCTCAAGAGTGGGTTCTTTAGACGAGGAGCATTATTGCCAGTTGAAACAGAAGTGCACGGCTGCCTTCATTCTCTCCAGGCTTTTATTTAATACATATTTTATTTAATACGTAACATATACATATTTAAAATTCGGCCTTCTCAAAGTGCATATTTGAGCATATTATTTGATGAAGTACATTATCAATGTTTCAGTGCACCTGTTTGTGCCTCCATTTGAAATTAGTTGCTAACTGAGGTTTAGAGATGACAGCGCTTTTAGCTTCCACCAGATCTCTTGTTTGGCTCCAGACCCAGTCAGCGGTAATTGAATGTTATTTCAATCTGACAGCTGTTTGGTTTCTTCAGAGAGCCGAGTTAAGTAATTTAGTGCTGCCCAATAGCAATTGTTGCCTAAGTTGTTTAAAAAAAGAAAGGGGGTGGGGGTGGAGAGTGGGGGAAGGAAGAGAAAAGAAGGGAGAAGGGGAGGGAGAGAGGGCAGAAGGAAGGGAGGGCGGAAGGAAGGAAAGACGGATGGAAGAACGGACAGACTGACAGGCGGAAGGGAGGAAGGGCATGCGGAAGAGCAGAAGGGCAGACAGAAGGGCGGAAGGATGGGCGGAAGGAAGACGGACGTAAGGACGTAAGGAAGGACGGAGGGACGTAAGAATGGTTGGACGGGCAGAAGAGGGGAAGGGCGGACGGAGGGACTGACGGAAGGATGGACGGCCGGATTGGCGGAAGGACGGACCGAAGGAAGAATGGACGGAAGGACGGACGGATGGAAGGGAGAACGAGCGAGAGGGAGACCATCCAACTCCTGTGACCAGCTAAATGGCTCTGAATTAATACAAAGTCCGTAGAGCGGTTTCTCTGGTTCATTGGAAGAGTTAGCGTTGCCTAGAGGTCCCAGATTTGCAACTAGTGATGTAAATGTCTGGCTTGTGTAAATACTTGTGGGCATCTTCTGTCTTAATATCTCATTTCCAGGGCTCTTTAGAAATAGCAATAAAAATGTTCCTTCACCTGTCTTTACTTAAGAAATACTCTGTATGAAATTAGCAATACATAGAACTAGTCAAGGCTGGAAAAAACACGTAGAACATTCTTGACCTGGTGCCCCCTTACACCCCTGAGAGGGTAACTATAAAAAGGAAATTATCGGAGTCCTTATTTCCTTCGGAGTACACAAAGCACTTTCCTTTTCCCTTCGTTCCTAGAAGCAGATAGCATAAGAGCCAGAACAAGTCAGTAGGAGGAAGGAGAAAGGGCAGTACATTGTTAAAAAAAAAGGAAGAAGAAAGAAAGAAAAAATATACTATACAGTCCACTAAGGTAATCAGTAGGATTAGGAATAGATTAATGTAAGCATCTAGTCAATTTGAATTGGACTCTTTCCTAAAATTTGTAGTGAGCATTATGAAGTCACTTTAGCCAAAGAAAAGGTACGATGCTTTGAGACTGCGTTTGTACAGGCTCACGTGCATGTATGTATACATATGTATGTAATTTTTTTCCCCTAGGGACTCAATAGATCTTGATAATCCACAGGAGAACATTAAGGCCACCCAGCTCCTGGAGGGCCTGGTGCAGGAGCTGCAGAAGAAGGCGGAGCACCAAGTGGGGGAAGATGGGTTTTTACTGAAGATCAAGCTGGGGCACTATGCCACGCAGCTGCAGGTGGGTGTGCGCTCTGGGTCACACTGGATTCTCTTCCCTAGGAGGGGCTCTTCCTTCATTTAGTACTTTCTGTAGAGGTCGTCATTCTCTTATTCAACTCAGCATTGTTGAGTTACATATTACATGTATAAAGTTCTTATTGTCTAGTTTTGTGGTTGTAGCCAGCTGCCTTTTTTTAACTTTTTATTTGAAAATAATTTCAAATTTGTAGAAAGCTGCAAGATTGATACAGAGAACCCCTACATATGCCCAGATTCACCTATTGTTAACATTTGCTTTATCATATTCTCTCTCTACACACAAACATTATTTCATCACGTGAGAGTAAGTTGCATGTATCATGTCCCTTTGCCCCTACATACTTCCAGTGTGCATTTTCTAAGAATATAAATCTTTTCTTATGTAGTTATAGTGCAGTTATCAACTTAAGTAAATTTAACATTGATACAACACTTTTAGGTAATCTTATATCTATATTTTCATTTTGTCAACTTAATAATGTCCTTTAGGGCATTTTTTTTTTTCCAGTCTAGGATCCAGTCCAAGATCACATGTTGCATCTAGTTGGCATGTCTCTTTAATCTCCTTTATTTTTATTTTTATTTTTTTTTGTGAGGAGATCAGCCTTGTGCTAACATCTGCCAATCCTCCTTTTTTTTT